CATATCCCCAATCCTGGTAGCCAGTGAGAAACTGGGTATTAAAGTTATCGGAACCCGTCACGAGGTCAACACTGTCTTTGCAGCTGATGCCGTCGCTCGTCTCTCTGGTGTGATAGGTGTGGCATGTGTTACAGCAGGACCGGGTCTAACAAACACTGTCACTGCTGTTAAGAACGCTCAAATGGCCGAATCACCATTACTCCTCATAGGCGGAGCAGCTGCGGGTATATTGAAGGGACGCGGGGCTCTGCAGGATATTGATCAGATGGTCCTGTTCAAACCGTTGTGCAAGTTCTGTGCAACGGTGACTCAAGTTAGGGACATTGTACCGACTCTTAGGAAAGCAATAGCTGCAGCACAGTCGGGCACACCAGGACCTGTGTTTGTGGAGTTCCCTATTGATACTCTCTACTCTTACTCAATGGTGCATAAAGAGATACTCCCTCAGAAGAAACCCAGGACCTTGCCTCAGATCCTTACCTATTGGTATATGAAGGCGTATGTCGCTCGTGTGTTTGGTAATGCATGGGCTCCTAAGGAGATGTCACCACTGCCTATAGTGAGGCCGTTCTGTGCTGATAGTGATGCTATGAAAGCTGCCGAATTGATAAAGAAATCCAAAAAACCTTTATTCCTTATTGGGAGCCAAACCGTCCTGCCCCCTGTTAAAGCTGAAGACACTCGTGAGCATTTGGAGGCCATTGGTATACCGTGTTACCTTGGGGGAATGTCTCGTGGGCTACTGGGACGTAATGGACACCTCCATATAAGGCAAAGGAGACGTGATGCACTAAAGGACTCTGACCTAGTCGTACTGGTTGGATCAGTCTGTGATTTCAGGTTGAATTATGGACGTGTTTTCAATAGCAAGTCTGTCATTATTGCCGTCAATCGTAACAAGACTCAATTGTATCTCAATGCTGGTATGACCTGGAACCCAAACCTAGCTCTACAAGGTGACCCAGGTCACTTCATAAAACAGTTAGCATCGTATCTCAAGAACTATCGGTGCGACCGAGGCTGGGTTGACCTCCTCAAGTCAAGGGATCAAGAAAAAGAAGCGGACACTAAATCAAAGGCCGAGGAAATACCAGACGAGCATCTCAATCCTCTTAAAGTTCTACACATTGCGGAAGAGGTTATGAGCCCTGATACTATACTGATAGCTGATGGAGGAGACTTTGTTGGTTCTGCCGCTTACATACTTCGTCCCCGTGGTCCCCTTACTTGGCTGGACCCTGGCCCATTTGGTACTCTTGGAGTTGGAGGAGGGTTTGCATTAGGAGCTAAGCTATGCTGCCCAGATGCTGACATATGGATCATATATGGTGATGGATCCTGTGGGTACAGTATACCAGAATTTGACACATTCTCCCGTTTCAAACTCCCAGTTATTGCTCTGGTGGGTAACGATGCCTGCTGGACTCAAATAGCTCGAGAGCAGGTCCCCATACTGGGCAGTGATACTGGCTGCATGCTGGAGTATTGCAACTATCACACTGTGGCTGAGGGTTTTGGTGGTCTGGGGTATGAACTGGAGCGTGGAATGGATGATGAGGCCATCAGGAAGACACTCAGTGAGGCTCAGGATGTTTCTCGTAAGAGCAATAAGCCGGTCCTCATTAATTGCTTCATTGGAAAGACTGACTTTCGTAAAGGATCCATATCTGTGTAAAGGATGGGACAATTGTGATTAGAATATATTATTATTATTATGCTGCAATTATGATTATGATTATGATCTTTATTATTATAGAAATTGATTTGTGATACGATGCATACACTTTTGGAGATTTTAATA